TTTTTTTTTTTTTTTTTTTTTTTTTTTTTTTTTTTTTTTTGGTTAAAGTTCCGATCGTTCATTAGGGATGTGGAAGTCAAGAGATTAAAAACTCGAGATCGCTCATTAGGGTCATGTAAGTCAAGAGATTAAAAACTCGAGATCGCTCATTAAGGTTGTGCAAGTCAAGAATCGATACTGTGGTCAGTTAATTATAATAAACACAAGTTTATGCAACAAACTAGGCTATAGGATTCAATCAAAATTCTCAATTTGTCGTGAATATAATCATCGAGAATTATTATAATTTATTAATATATCACAAATATTATATTAAAGTTTAAAATCAAACAAATTTCATATATTTTCTTCTTTAGAAACGAGGTCGATAAATCGTCTTTCAAAAGTCAACGACTTTGTATGAGTGGTGTCAGTTTCATAAAACGGAACTTGTTATGTAATTATCCACAAAAATAGTATAAATATTAAGACGATAATTAATAAATACAATTAAAAATATATATAAAAGAGAGATCTATAATTTGATTCTTTCATCTCTTTTAACTGAAGTGTCCTTCTTTTGACCTGCACTTGGCCTTTGAAACCCTAACATTATTCCCTTCCTTCCATTTTCCAACCAATCACAGCCCGACACCTCAGCTTGTGGCCCCCACATTCTCCCATTAATTACCCTAATTAATCTTAATTAACCAATCATCCATCTTTTTCATTAGGGTTTACCTTATAAATACTAATCTCGTCCAGAATAATCACTTAATCCCTATGCATAACTCGAACGCTGCATACATAAATCGATAAATCAAGAGCTCGAGGATGTGCTAACTTTTTAAACAGCAGTTAAGTTCTAACGAGAACAATCACTTCATTCCTATCTATATCTCGAACGTTGTATACACAAATTGAAAAATCAAGAGCTCGAGAACATGCTACCTAAAACAATCACTTCATTCGTATACAAATCAGCAGAGCAAGAGCAAGAGCTCGAAAATGGAAAACGAACAAAAAAAAAAAAAAGATTTATTGAGATAAATGGTTGATTATTACACTACATGTAGTAGAATATAGCTAGCCATTAGGCTAAGATAGCTATCCAAATAACCCTAGCTATGAGAGAATCCTCAAGCTCTTTCCACTCGGATTCTTTCCCATTCTAATATATATGTATATATTTGGATCCTCTGTGGCCAGATCTACCTTACTCTCTTCATATTGAACAACCCATCACCACACGATCAGATTTCATCCCATCAGATCTTCGGTCGCTTGCTATTATACATTGGTATACATGAGATCTAAATATATTTCACAATGTTTTCATTTATGTATTTGATTTAATTTTCATTCATTTAAACTATATAATAAGTATATATAATAAGCTATAAATTCAAGGAATCATGATGAAAGAAGTACATTGCAAATTATAAGGTAGAATGAAAGATTACATATAATTTTATAATATGGTTTTGGGTTATGGAAATGAAAGATATGAATCGATCCATGTGACAACCATGCAAATAAATGAAGATTTTATATATATATATATATATACATAACCTGGTTAATGCTAAGAACAAATCCCGAACATGGATACATTTTAAACCGTTGCCAAACAGTGAAATAACTTCAATTTCCAAACAAGAACCCTAAATTTAAGGGAAATGATGAAAACCCTAAAATAAAAGACGTATTGAGTCTGTGAATCTGTGATATTCCTTCTGCAAAAAAACATCACATCACAAGGGACATAAAAAAAAAAAAAAAAACCCTAAATTTCAAGAAGAAGAAGAAAAATACCTCTTCAATGCCAATGTTTGAAATTAGGGTTTTTCGGGTAGCTGCAATAAGAAAAGGGCACGAGCATTGAGAAGGGTTAGGTCGAGAATTACCAATTTAGAGCATAGCTGAGCTGATTAAGACATAGATGGATTAAAAACAAAAGACGGGTAAGTTGTGATGTTAAAGATAAAAGATTTGAATCCCGATCTACACGGAATATGCTTGGCTCCTCATACGCCATCTACGGAGGTCATCGGGTAAGACGGTGAGCGCTCTACAAATGGCATACAGGGAGCCAGGCAGATTTGATATATGAAAGCATATATCAGAAAGGAATGGAGAGGGTGAATGAATGGGAAGATGGGAGGAAAAGGATGGGATATATAAGGAGATTCAAAAGGAAATTTAAAAATAAAAGAAAAAAGTGGGCTGAAAATGGTAATTATGGGTAAGTTGGAGGGGTGAATTGCAATAAAAAAGAAGAAAGCATGGGGTGTGGGAATTTTGCAGTAAGGCACCTGCTGGTTTTGCCGTGTTAATATAAAGAACAAAAAATGGTTTAGAGGGTAAGCACTCAATTCCCCAAGCTATGGCTTATGGTGTTTGAAATCTCCTTTTCTGCCTCATAAAGCAAACCTTACTTTTCTATTCTGAAACTCATTTTGTCTGCAAGTGTTTGGAAACATATGGATTCCTCCCCTTCCTTCCTTTTTTCCTTTTTTTTTTTTTTTTTTAATAATAATAAAGAAAATAACATATTATATATATATATATATACACACACACGCGCGTTGGACGATAAAAGCCCCACATCTGTTAATTTAGGGACCTAATCGTGCCAATACGTGTCTTGGATGATGAAAGTCCCGCATCAGCTAATTTCGGGAATGATCATGAATTTATAAATGTGATTTATTTGTGGGTTTTGAAATGTGGGTGGGACTGGAATACACGTGAGAGAATGGTCGGTGGTTATAAATTAAAAAAAAAATGAGGTAAGGGGTAATTATGATAAACTAATTCAACCCCACTTCACCTAATTGCACTTATGATTTGTATCTTTATTTGGGTTTGGAAATGGCCACTTCATGCCTTTTGAATTCTTTTAGGACAAAAAGGTCATTTGACTGTAAAGGAAAGGGAGGGAAAATATTGGTATTGGTCCCTACACTCATCATTTACTTTAAATTCCTTTATCCTCATGTTCATCTAATTTGTCCAATTTACCTCTCCATCCCTCTCATCATTATTTTTTTTTTATTTATCTTTATTTTCGATTTATTTTATTTAATTATAATTTTTTTAGTTCAACAACATTCGAGATCCCACGTTATTAGCAAAGGGGAATGAAACATTCCTTATAAGAGTGTGGAAACCTGTCCATAGTAGAGACGTTTTGTGAGATCCCACATTGGCTGGTAAAGAGGAATTGAGTATTCCTTATATGGGTGTGGAAACATCTCCCTAATATAGACGTTTTAAAATCGTGAAGCTTATGGTGATACGTAACGAGTCATAGTGAACAATATTTGCTAGTGATGGCTTCAGGCTGTTAGATGACCTCTTGATCAATGATAGGTTGTTAAAGTGAAAAATATCTATTAATGATGGCCTTAAACTGTTACATGACCTTTTGATCAATGATAGGTTGTTAAAGTGAAAAATATCTGATGGTCTCCGGCGTTACATGATCTCTTAAACCTGACCTTATTTATTTTTATTCTCGATTTTTTCCTTTAATTATTAACTTTTTTTTTTTAGTTCAAAATAATATACGACTAATTCAACTAGATCATTAAATTTTAAATTTTTAGTATAATTTTCAGTGAAAAAATAATTATTGCATTAGTGAATAAAGTCAACTATGTATCAAATCACGTGTTTCTCAATTATAACAATATTTGTTTCTTTTAAGGATAAATACAATGTTTTAGCCCTTCATGTTTTTCAATTTAGTCCTTATTATTTATTTTTTTATTATGTCCCTAATTAAAAGTTTACCATTTTCAATTTAGTGAACACTTATATGATATAATATTTAGTAAATTAATACAAATTTAGAATTAAAAAAAAAAAACATTATTTTTTTGGCTTTTAAGGTTTCAAAACGTTGTTAAGGTGAGATTTTCATGTGTTTGTAAGAAATGTTTCGTTTTCCTCTCCAACCAATAAGATTTCATAATCCACCTCCCTTTAGTCTAGTATTTGGCTCAGATACCATTTGTAACAACTCAAACCCACCGTTGATATTGTCCTCTTTGAATTTTTCCAGCATCCACTAGTAGTCACTGGACGGTGCGAGACACTGGTCGTAATAGGGCTAGTTCGTCTCCATAGTAGACACGTTTTTAAAACCGTAGGAGAAACCCATTGAAGAGAAAACTCAAAAATGACAATATCTACGAACAGTATGTTTAAAGTATTACGTTATAACATTTTGGAAGATATATATGTAATACGAGAATGAGTATATATCATCACTGATACAAATAACAAATTAACACAAATATCTAAACATAAAGAACAAGGAGACACAGACGAACGACACAACCCACAACACAAACACCGTTTTTAACGAGAGTAAGACTGATAGAGTCGAGTGGAATCGTGGAGTGTTGTAAAAGAAAAGAAAAGTGTGGGGGGAATCCTGATGTCAGATAATTTAATGATATTGGGGTTCATCTGAAGCTGCCCTTTACGTGGTTTTGTGCCAAAGTGATCAAATTTTTTGTCCCCCTTGTGTTTGTTGTTTGTACCCAAAGTGTGTGCTCAAGGTTAGATTCTACTCCAACCTCCCCATTCTTTTTAACTCTCTTTCACTTTTCCCAAATATCCACACTCCTTATCTCTCCTTTTCATGCCAACCAACATTAAATATTCCCCACATTCCTTTCTTTTATTCTTTTCCCATCAATTTTTGCACAAAACCCAAATGCCCTTTCTTAATAAAATACTCAACAACGACCTGTAATTCATGTTTTCGTGTCGTTATGAGTTATAACTTTAGTGTTAGTGTTCTGGGCAAAACTTAAATGGGGTTTGTGAATAAAATAACTAGAGAACTCTTCCGCTCGAGAACGAGCTATAAATTTTCATGTTTTAGTGTTGTTTTGAGTTATAACTCTAGTGTTAGTGTTATGTATATTTCGGGTTTTGTCCTAATTTAAACAGAACCTAAATGGGGTTTGTGAATAAAATAACTAGGGAACTCTTCCGCTCGAGAACAAGCTATAAATTTTCATGTTTTAGTGTTGTTTTGAGTTATAACTCTAGTGTTAGTGTTATGTATATTTCGGGTTTTGTTCTAATTTAAACAGAACCTAAATGGGGTTTGTGAATAAAATAACTAGAAAACTCCCCCGCTCGAGAACGAGCTACAAATTTTCATGTTTTAGTGTTGTTTTCAGTTATAACTCTAGTGTTAGTGTAATGTATATTTCGGGTTTTGTCCTAATTTAAACAAAACCTAAATGGGGTTTGTGAATAAAATAACTAGAAAACTCCTCCGCTCGAGAACGAGCTGCAAATTTTCATGTTTTAGTGTCGTTATGAGTTATAAACTCTAGTGTTAGTGTTATGTATGTTTCAAGTTTTGTCCTAATTCAAACAGAACCTAAATGGGGTTTGTGAATAAAATAACCAGGAAACTCCGCCGTTCGAGAACTAGTTGCAAATTTTGATGTTTTGGTGTCGTTATGAGTTGTAACTGTAGTGTTGTTAGTGTTAACGAGAAGTGACTAGGTATCTACATATTTGTAAGTGAATTTATTCTCTTGTCTTTAAGATTCGTGTCTATTTAGTACTTGGATTTTTTTTTTATTTCCGGTTTTGCCCTAGTTCAAACAAAACCCGCTCGTAAACGAGTAGTAGGTTATTGATATAAAATGAATTTACAAATTTAAAAAGAAAAATGAAAAAAATTGAGAGAGATTTGAAAAACCCTAGAGGAGAGGAGAGGAACAGAAAAGGTGGAGCAGAGCAAAGGGTACCTTATTATTCTCTTTTTCTTTCACATTTTATTAAAGAACGTGAAACTCCAGCTTTCCCCTTGTGCATGCAACCCTAGCATCATTACCCTCACTACTTCCACTTCTTTTTTTTTTATTTTTTTTTATTTTTTTAATAAATTATATTATTTGGTTATTTTTTAATTTAGTCAATTTTCATCATTCAATGGGCCGATTTACTTGGGCTTTCTTGTCCAGGTTTATGAGCCTTCGACCCAATGGGCTGTAATGATCTATTGGGCTCACACCACCACTTGCTTTGTTAATCAGATTGGGCCGAAGTCCACCATTGTGTCTTACAGGCTTGCAATGACTAGCCCCATTATTGATGATAAAATCCTAATGGAATTACCTATGAGTTATGATTTTTCGTTTGACGTTTTAGCCGAGCATTCGAGGGAGAGGGAGAAGGGTGTGTGGAGATTGTTAACATGTTTTTTCTGCTCATATCTTCGTGCCTGGCACATGGGCTTTCGAGAGCCCGGTTTAAATGATAGAGAGACTTAAACAAACAGGTGCCGAGTTTACGAGGTGAAGGAGAAGCTCGAGCACAAATAGGTAAGGGCAAACTGGTGGTGAATAAAACTAATAATGGAGTATTATGCTAAATGATGCTTCGTTTTTCCTCCAATGGTAACTTGATGCACTGAAATGAAGCCCAATATCAAGATACAGAGCACATTCAAAGGCGCAAAGGGAGGGAAAACCATCGAGTTCAGATTCAGTACAGGGAGAGATTTAATTACATTTGGTATGATTTAAGACAAAATTCAAGGGGAAATCGTTCTGGGGATGATGATGTCGCCAATGTTGTTGTGCCATGGGTCAGCCAAGTGAGTAGCCAAGTTCTCCAGTGGCCCTGTTCCTGGGTATGCCGATTGTTGCACACAGAACCCAACAAAAGCCAACAACGCCAACCGACCTACAAAAAAAAAATTAGTCACTTTTCACGTTCTTTCCTAACAGAGTGCTTCAATTTTGTTCCCAAACGTGACAAGTTCTAGTGGAAATGAAAAGCCTCACCATTTTTGATCTCCTTGACTTTGTATTCCTTCAACTTTTCAGGGTTCCTGGAGTAGCCCAATGGGTCAAAAGCACCTCCAGGGTACTTCTTCTTCTCAGGGTCTTTCTCCATGCTGCGTTGGTGCTCTACAAAGGCAATGGCAAGGAACTCAATGACCAAAATGGTTGGCAAAGTTCCCCATGGAACTGGTTGCCCCAGGTAGGTAGCTTGGCCTCCTGGAATAGCTGCCCATTCCTGAGCTTTCACCCAGTTGCCCAATCCCAACGCCTCAGGTACCAACATCCCTGGCTGGAAAACAGAACAAAGAGTGTATGAAAATTCATCATCGGTGGAGAAAAAGAACAGCCCCATAATCTCGGAATCAAGCAATTGGATTTGGAAAACTTACAACAGCAAGCATGGCCCATCTGCAGTGAATTAGCTCAGACTCCTTGAATCTCTCGAGATTCTCTGGCACTTCTCCCAGCCGAAGAGGGTCAAAGCCAAAATCACTGTTGAACACAACCACACATCTCAAGAACTAAGTAACAGTAATTTCAAACATGGATTCACATTCTCCAACAATTTCAACAAATCAAGGACAATTCAAAGCACCCAAAAGACAGTCGTGACTCAGGCATTTCATCAAACATCTAGAGGACAATCATCCCACATCAACAAAAGAAACCACCAGATTTGAATCTCTCGAGATTCTCTGGCACTTCTCCCAGCCGAAGAGGGCCAAAGCCCAAATCACTGTTAAACACAACCACACATCTCAAGAACTAAGTAACAGTAAATTCAAACATGGGATTCTCATTCTCTAACAATTTCAACAAATCAAGGACAATTCACAGCACCCAAAAGACAGTCGTGACTCAGGCATGTCATCAAACATCTAGAGGGCAATCACCCCACATCAACAAAAAAAAAAAAAAAAACACCAGATCTTGCGAAATAAAAAGAAATTTTCAAATTTCAATACCCGGGGGCAGAGCCGTCAAGATACGGCGGGCGGGGCTGGCCAGGCATCCAGTCAGCGGACATGGAAAATCGAGAGGAAGCATTAACGGAGACGCCGGAAATCGGGACACCGGTGGCGAATTTAGACTTGGAGGAGGAGAGGACGGAAGGGAAGGCGGTGGTGGCAATGCCGAAGCTCATCAAGGTGTTGGAAGCCATTGAAAAACAGTGGCAGAGATCGAAGAGAGAGTGGGAATGGCGGAAGATGAAGGGGGGGGAAGGAGACTAAAAACACTTGCAAGACAAAGATTGGGGAATCTGAAGATTGGCTTTCATTGGCTGAGTATGGGTTCGTTTTGTGATCTCATTGGGCCAGCTGGAACTTCTCAATCCATTTTCTTTGCTGACGTGGAATATCCAGTTGGGTTGGGATCTTGGAATTCCGTGGTGGAGCTTCTTCCATTCAGAGATTCCAGTGATAAATTTTAGATTTTTTTTAGCTGTGATATATTTTAGACCACGTGGCATTATATCATGTCAAATGTCCATTTTGACCCTCGATTTTTGTAAATAAAATAACTAAATAAATATTTAAATTTTAACTCCTAAGAAAATTATCGAGCTATTTCTCTAAGACATCGATGAGCCTGAGTGCCTTCATGCACCGTGAAAGCATGTAGTTAAAGAAAATCACTTTGATTGTAGTTGGTCCTATTGACTTGAGATAGTCGGTACGTCTTCGTTCGTGATCGATTAGTCCCTCTTCTATCAATAGGTATTCTCAACACATCGACCGCATGCCCAATGCTTACGAAAGAGAACGAATCATCTTCAGTCTAATTGGTTAGATTTGGGGTTATGAGTATTTGTAGATGTTAGACGAACATGACTCTCCACAATTGTATGATATTGTCCACTTTAAGCATAAGCGTTCATAGCTTTGCTTTGGGCTTCTCCAAAAGGCCTCATTCCAATGGAGAAAAATACTATTTATAAACCCGTGATCATTCCCTAAATTAGCCGATATGGGACTTTCATCTTCCAATACCTCCCCTTGAACAAAGTACGCATCTCCTTAATTAAGGCTCAGCTCCTTTGGAGTCTTAGTCATTTTTTACTGCCCTCGAAGAGGCTCGACTCATTTTCTTTTGGAGTCCTTTGTTCGACATTTGAGGATTTACTAAGTTTAGGGCATAGTATATTATTTGTTTATAAACACATGATCATTTCCTAAATTAGCGGACGTGAGACTTAAATCATCCAACAGTAGACTAATTCAAAATATTGATCAATTCGATTTTCAACTCAACGAAATTGAGTGGAGTGATCATTCCAACTTCCGTTCACGTGTTGTTGAACATAACAAAAAATATCCTCTATATATATATTGAAAACGTGTTGTAAGTACTAAACGTTATAATTTGTTGATATGAGGTTATTAGTTAAGACATTTCTAACATAAACACGTGTGTTTTGTGTTATAACCAAACATTTAGGTTTGAATAATTTAGGGTATTTAGTGTAATTTTATGTTAGATGAAGGTCTAATTTGCAAACATACATTTAATTAGAAAGCATGCAAAAGCAAAGGACTTCATGACGTGAGTTTCCCGCAATCAAATCATGGTCAACGAAACTGTAATCAGAAGTATTCATGATCTGGATTATCCGCACGGGGTGCACCATAATACTGTACGCCTCACCGCACCCAATACCCAACTCTTTCACGTTACGATCTTCGAAGCTCGAGCCAAGACCCACCTCCTCTGTAACCCAAAAGTCTCCCGCGAAGCAAAACAGTCCATTTTTAGCACACAACTCCGATCACCGTCATCCACGGTCTAATTCAACGGTCACTATCCACCGTCTCTGCCTATGAGTACTCCAGCAGTCCCGGGGGTAAGCTCCGTTACAATTGTTTGTTTTAATCTTCTCCAAATTGGCGGTCGATCAGTCGCATTCAGATCTCGCAGTTCGTCTTTTCTATCTCGGAACGTGTATGCTAGATCTTGACATTTTATCGAAATTCGGCGACGTTTCTAATGATGTTTTGTTGTTTTGTGTAATTCGTTTTGTAATTGGATAGGGGCCTGGCTTGTTTACTGGATTTACGAAGCTATGCAAGGGCTTAGCTGTGGTGCTGGTTGGCGGGCATATCTTGGTTCAGGTTTTTCCTGCGGTTGTTAGTTATCTCGCTCTTATTCCAGCCAGGTATCTTGTTTGGAGAACTTAGTCTTTGGATTAGTGGTAGTGATAACTGCGCAAAGCTGATGTAGTTTAATGGCGGAATCTATGCGATGCGTACGTTCTTGCAGTAATGCCTGTAGGTTACCGGTTAGAAATGTCTTTGTTTTCTCGAGTTGAACTTTAGTCAGGAAAAAATCTAGAATCTTGTGATCACAGATGAAAATTTATTGAATTCTTGTATCTGCTAGGATTTCAGGTGGGCAGGTATATGTTACATGTTTTGAATTGAACATAGTGATCCAGAGGCTTGTCTTGTGTCCTGTGGGATTGATAGAAGTTAGTCAATAGTTTAGTTTCCATCCATGGAAATTTGGTCGTAATTGTAAAATGCAATGACTCTGTTGATTCCTCTATTCAATTTATTGGCCATATCATCCAAGTAGCGGTTTACCCTTCTTCAGATAAAAAGTTTATGTTGATAAGAAGTTGCAACAAACTTTTCGAGAGGCTACTGTTGTGGATTATTGAAAAAAGTAGTACCACGTTGGCTAATTAAGAGGAAGATCAGGGTTTATAAGTAAGGAACACTATCTCCATTGATATGAGGCATTTTGGGGAAACTAAAAGAAAAGCCATGAGAGCTATTGCTCAAAGTGGACAATATCATATCATTGTAGAGAGTCGTGGTTCCTAAAAGCCACATGATCTACTGCTTTAGGATTCCAAGGGTTGCGTTCCAGAGGCCTAAGTTTACTGTTTTGATGTCTAGAACTCTTTCATTTCTTTAATCTGACGTTTTCACTGCTACACAATCTGAATTATTAACACGAGTGTGAAATGTGAATCCCTTATTATTCTGAATTGGCTTTTGTTATTTAACTACAGTACTTTAGTTTCCTGATAGGAAGAAAGATTATTAATAAGAGTAGAAATGTAGAGAATGATATCCGCTGCACTAGAGTATATCATTTTATATATAAATGATCCGAGTAAAAATATGCAAAAATGATCCCACATTCTAAATGTTTACACTCCTGGGCCTGCAAGAGGTAAAATATAAACATCCTTTACAGAAAACTTCTCCATCTGAATATTTTTGTTAGCAAATACGAGTTTTCCGTTCTAACTCGACTACTCAATGAAGAGCTGAAATTGCAATATGACCTCAATCTTTTACTAGCCATCTTCTGATAACCCATAATTTACTACAAAAATCAAAATGGAGAAATATATCATTTACCAAAGAGGTGAAGGGCCATTAATTTAGGGAAAACAAGGATGACTGATGCAATGATAGTATAGATATGAAAGTCGATCAACTGCAAGTCATGAGTTATTGTCATTCTATTGGATCTTCTGTTCATCAAAATACCGAAATTGCCATTATCTTTCAGTATTCTGTCGACATTTTTCACTGCTTATATATAGAATTATGAAGCTAGGTCCATATTGAATCTCCCACTCTTAACTATAACAATAAAACTATTGATCAAATGTAGAAATTTGTGCCCAGTTTAATTCATTATTTTATTTTATTTGTGTGATGTGAGAATATTTCCTCTGTAGTGTAGGAATCGATTAAATTCAGGGAAGGCAGGTATCTGACCAAGTTTTGAGTAGTTAAATTTACATGGAAAGTGTGTAAACAATAAATGGTTGGGTCATTCATTCCTTTGAACTTCTATTTTGTAGGACTATTCCTTTTGCTTGGAATCTCATAACTGCTGGTTATGTTGAACAGACAGTATATGGGGTATGCACTCACGTTGTCATAACTATTTTGTTTCCATTTACAGAATAATAATTTGAACATATCTCACTATTTTTTAGTCAGTCTCCACTGGAAGTTAGACTCACCGGAGCCATATATTGCAGGTTGTTGTCAGCACAGTTGGTCTCCTTTTTGTTGGGAAGCTGCTTGAACCCATCTGGGGCTCTAGAGAATTTTTGAAATTCATCTTTGTAGTCAATTTTATAACTTCTTTATGTGTCTTTATCACAGCAATTGCCCTATACTATATTACACAGGAGGAAAGTTATCTGTAAGTGTTACTGAGTCCTCGTGCATCAAGGGCTCTTTTTAGGCATACTTGTGTACATGTCTTTAGCTGATAGCGCATTATGGATTTTCATTTAAGCCATTTTTTGTCTGATTCATTCCATATAAGTATTTTACAGTCTCCCTTTATCAACTCCTCTTTAAACATGTTTCATTTTACGCCTCTCGGTCTTTCCATACATCTTGTTTACATATTTTTTTTTTTTGGTCTCAGTTATCTGCCTGTATCTGGTTTCTATGGGATTCTAGCTGGGTTCTTGGTTGGAATCAAACAAATCATACCTGATCAAGAGTTGCCATTATTGAAACTGAGAACTAAGGTATGAAAAATGTAGATAGGCAATTACAAATTTTGAATGGTTTTTATCAGAGTTTTTCTTGAACGCTCTTTTGGGCTTTGCTTGAAACTTCATGCAGTGGTTGCCATCTCTTGCTGTATTTGTATCCATTGCTGTAAGCTGTTGGACAACAGGGGCAGCAACGTATCTTCCAACAATAATATTTGGAACATACATCAGCTGGATTTATCTGAGATACTGGCAGAGGAAACCTGAAACAAAACTGAAAGGCGATCCAAGTGATGATTTTGCATTCTCTTCATTCTTCCCTGAACTCCTACGGTATTCTGTTTATCTTGAAGTTCTTTTTTCTACTTTTTTAAGCTTCTCTTGCCATGTTTTCAGGAATATTCTGTGTTCTCTCTCTCCATAGTCCATAGCGTACTATTCTTGATGGTTCTGTGCAGGCCAGTCATTGATCCAGTTGCATCAATATTTCATCGTCTGATTTGTGGAAGATCTGAATCCCCCAACGATTCCGAGGACTATACTGCCGCAGGTGCCCCGCTGCCCGGTTCAGATCCCATTGAGGCATCCCGAAGGAGGTAATATTTTTCTTCTGACTCATAAGGTTAATTGTAAAGAATAGTAAAGAATGGTATAAAACATAAACGAAATGTGTGTAATGCTCATAAAAATTGAAAATTCTATTGGTTGCAGAGAAAGGGGAGCTAGA